AACGCCGGGGACCTTCTCCTTCAGGATCGCTCGGATCGTCGCCGTCGCAGGAAGCTCTGGGGGGCCTTCCCGACCGGAGCTTAGGGTTTAGGGTTTAGGGTTTAGGGTTTAGGGTTTAGGGTTGTAGGGGCCTAAATGATTTCCTATACTATTTTGGGGGCTCCTTGTTATAATCATAGTGTAACGGGTCCCAAAACCCTATTCTAATTATTAAGGCCCCTACATTACCCTGAACCCTAAAACCCTAAACCTTAAACACAAAACCCTAAACCCGAAAACCCTAAACCCCAAAGCCCCGAAACCCTGAACCCTTTGGCAAGCCCAGGCTTGCGCGTGATGGCAAGGTCTTGGTGGCTTTCCACACGAACCTGCATTGGACTCTAGGCATCGCGGTTTAGGGTTTAGGGTTTAGGGCTTGAGCCCCAGAAAGTTGGGTTTAGGGTTGAGGGTTTAGGATTTAGGGTTTAGGGTTTAGGTCCGAACCTCAGAAAGTTGGGAGCATAGGTCAAGGATGATAAGTGCTGAGATCCCTATACTGTACCTTCAGGGTGATGTTCCAACTTTCTGGCTTCTACTGTAAGCTGTTGGGATTTTAGAGCCTTTTGGATTGTAGGATCTTGCAGGTTTGTAGGATGTTTCGGGTTTAGGATTTTTCCCGAACCAGGCTCAAGAGGATCTTGTTTTGCTACTGTTCTTCACAGGCTTGAAAGTGACGACCTAGGATCAAGACGACGGATGGCTGGCGCATCAAGGACAAGATCTACGCAACTCTCCCCTGATCTCTTATGCAGCGATGGTCGGCAGTGGGAATCGAAACACAGCAGGTGAGGAATAAATTCCTAGTGCTGCTTCGTACTGCAACCTAGGTTCGTTTATAAGTAGCCTAAACTAAGTCACAGAAAAACATATAGTTATTTGTCTTGCGGACTATGCATCCATATCATGGCAGCTTAAAATGCACACCTAAATTCTTTGACAAGAACCAACTAAGATCAGTAACCACCCGCAGCAGACACGTTTTAGTGCCCAGCTTTCTGCGCGACCATGGTGCCCAAAGAAAAAAGAACATGATGTTACGTTTCTCAGAGTTTCTCAGCCCAAAAAAATCCCCGAACCCCAGACTCTCAACCTTTAGGGTGCATGGTTTGCGGGTCCTAGTCTTAGTCCTTCTGAACACTAAACCCTAAACTGCGAGCATCCGGCGTTTCCGCAGCCTTTTGCACCACCCAGTCCTATACCCTCACCCAAACCCGACATCCACGCCACTAGTCTGGGCTCTTGATTTTGAGGACACACTTTCCTTGCCCTTTAGCCTTATCCTGACAACTTCAGTTTAGTGCCCTGAGAAAGCCAAAGCCTAAACCCCGATCCCCAAACCCCGATAGTGACTGTATGCATGACCCTGAAGCTTTCTTGGGTGGTACCATTCTACAAGGACTTCAATGAGGGTTTAGGGTTTAGGGTTGAAGGTTTAGGGTAGGTGGTACCATTCTACTGGGACTTCATTCTACTAGGACTTCAAGGAGGGTTTAGGGTTTAGGGTTTAGGGTAGGTGGTACCATTCTACTAGGACTTCAAGGACGATTCTGTGGTCCAGGAAACTCAAAACCAAGAAATCCCTAAACCCAACAGTCTCATATAGGGGTCGGAGCAAGCAGTGATACCATTCCCGATTGTTCCTTATCACAAAAATAAATGTAACTAGGGTTTAGGGTTTAGGGTTTTTTCTGTATATGCACATAGTATACTGTGTACTTATATAAGTTCTACGGTATAAGTTAACATACTCTGAAACCTTGCTCGACGTATAAAGGCCCTCTAGTTTACCGGCCCTGCTGCCTGTAGGCCGGGCTCGATCGTCTGAGGGTTTGGGTTCGAGGTTGATGTAGGTTCTTGTAGAGGGTTTGTGATTAGGGCTTAGGGTTCAGGGGCTTTGGTTTTCAGGGTTTAGGGATTAAGTTTTTGTAGAGGGTTTATGTCTTTACGCTTTGTGGGGTTCAGGATCAAAACCCGAAGGAGAGAACCACAAAAATGCACCAGCCCTAGAACCCGAAACCCTAAACCCTAAAACCCTCCACCCTAGACCCCCAAAATGACCCGGGCTCCAAATAAAATGCCGAAGTCTCAGGCCACGGGTCCGCAGAGTGTAATTTAGTATAGGGGCCCGAAGCAGAAGGATTAGAATGATCCGAGTTTTGGGTTTTGGGGTTTAGGGTTTCGGGGTTTAGGCTTTACGAGTTTAGGCTTTAGGGGTTTCGGGTTTTGGGGTTTAGTGTTTTGGGTTTAGGGTATACTCGGTATGAAGGAATCCTCATAAGGCTTGCAACTTGTACCTCAGACCTCTTGCGCTGCTGCTCGAATGCACTCAGGATCTGCCAAAGCACGCCCTTTCCTCTCGGGGGCGCGCCACAGCCGAACGATTGGTGATGGGTTTGTCTGCTGTGGTAACCGAAACACGGCCATCAGATGACCAGCTTTGGACACCCGAAGTTTACCTAGCAGCGCTGGGATTCGGACTTGTTTTTTTTTCAGGTCCTTGGGTGTGGGTCGGGACTTTTTTTCGTATGTTGAGAGTAAAGCTACCGGCTCTTTCCTTGCTGATGGCCCCGGAAACAGCTTCTTCTAGGACATTTGCAGGTGGGAAGTTACGGCTTAGGAGCCATATAGAAGGTCTATATGCCTTATAGAAGCCTTATGGAAGCCCTAAATACCCTAAACTTCCCATCTGCAGTTTTCTTTAAGCGAACCCAGCGTAATCCTGTAAGCAGGGTGAGAGCCGCAAGCTCATCATAGCAGCTTCAACAGACAATGAAACACACCCCGAGTCCGAGTTAAGTGCTACATCTACACCGTTCCCGCACTAAACCCTCTAAGCCCTAAACCCCCGAAGCCCTAAGCCCTTAACCCGCAGAACCCAAAAGGCTCCAAAACTGTTGTTCGAAGTTTTGGCGAGCTATCAGAAGAGCCCAGTCGCCAGGCCCTAAAGATTAGACTCAGCTTTGGAGTCTTGCGATCGACCGAAAGACTCAGGTCTGGGGGTTTTGAGGTTTAGGGTTTTGGGGTTTAGAGCCATTGGGGCCTCCTGGAACCTCGCTGTACGAGCCCAACCCTAGCGATCACGATGCGCAAAACACATCCAAGAAGACAAATCTTAGCCATAACTCCGCACCTGAAACTTAGCACCCTAAACCCTTGTAGCCTCAGGTAAAGAGCGACACTCGCGACGCTTCGTGGGCTGGAAAGCAAGATAGTGATGCCACTTGGTATTGCATTGCTGCTCAGTAGACCCTAAACCCTAAACCCTGATCCCTAAACCCTAATCCCTAAACCCCGATCCCTAAACCCTAAGCCCATTTTTGGTACCTGCCATGACACATGTTTGCAGGGTCCTCATTAAATCCCAGTAAACCCTCAACCCTAAACCCTATGTCCGAAGCAACAAAAGCCTAAAGCTGAAGCCTTTCTTTCCTAAAGCCTTGCATACTTACCGGTTTAGGGTTTAGGGTTTAGGGTTTAGGGTTTTGGTGGTTACTTAGAGGCCCAGGGGACTTAGTAAGTCGGCTGCAAGTAGCGTTATACTTGGGGCACCTCCATTTAGGGTACTTATAACTCTACTTATAACCTACTTACTAACTAAGTCCCCCGGGAGCGAAGCTCAAACGGTCCGGGAAACTGGGGAGCTGTTCATGGAGACCCCGCCTAAACCGCAAGCCCTTAGCCTTAGGACAAGTTTCTGTATCCACGGTTTAGGGTTTAGGGTTTCAAGGTTCAGGGTTTATAACATTCGAAACGATGTTGTTCTCAAATCGGGCGTGGGTTTCCTATAGAAGCCAATAGAACCCAAGATCATTAAACATATTATTCCTGAGGGCTCCTTATTTATATTCTATAGCATGACACACCTCAAAACCCTAAACCCTAAACCCCTAGACCCTAAGCCCCAACCCTATGCTGGTCATCAAGGCCCCTTATCGTGCAGAACCCGTGTAGTGGCCCTTTTTCGATCACTTTCTAAGGATCCCTTAACTAAGTTCTAATGTAGGGGCCATAATTACAGAAGGGTTTGGGGGTATATTCTATTATATCTATAATAAGGAGCCCCCCAAAAGAGTATAGGTAATTAGTAATTAAGGCCTCTATATTACTGAAATTGTTGAGGCCCTCATTTTAGGGGTTTAGGGTCACGGCTTAGGGTTAGTGACGTTTAGGGTTTAGGGTTTGGGGTTTAGGGTTTAGGGTCCACAGTTTTGGGTTAAGGTTTAGCTTCCTTGTTCAAGTATTTGTATTTAGGGAGTTCGGAGTAAACTTATGCACGGTGTTGTAGTCTGCAAGGTTGTAAACTGTTCTACGCCCCAGATCGCAAACACTAAGCTACTAACTGGTCTTGAACCCTCAATTCTACATGGGTAGTTTGCAAAATTAGGGTCACTTTGGGGGTCCTTTTTAATAGAGGGTGCCGTACTATATTGGGGACCTAAAATGGGACCCTAATTTAGAAAACTACCCACATGCAAACCCGAAAAGCTCAACCTCTGAAATCCTAATTCCCAAGCCCTAGGATTCTGAATGATTTCCCCATCTGGCCGCTACCTACCTACCTACCTACCTACCTACCTACCTACCTACCTACCTACATACATACATACATACATACATACCTACATAACTGATACGCAATTATACATACATCGGGATGACAAAATTGTTGACCTGCCGAAGCTTTCTTGTCTTAAGACGTCTTGCGGAGTGGCGGAGTACCGGTAAGTCCGATTTACTTGGTTTGGCCAACGGAGTATTTTATACGCCGTTTTATAGATGTATTAGTCTACTGCTCCGGGAAGGAGTGCCCGGTTGGTCCTCTTTGTCAGGATTCTATGGGGGAACGGGGGCCTGTGTTCAACGAACCACGGGGTAGGTCAAACTTGCAGTGTATATACATATATATATATATAGGCATATATATATATATATATATGTATGGCAAATACCCACAAACTCGTTCTGTTGTCCAGGCCCCCGTATTCAAGAAACCTTCATAGTAGCGCCTATAGTATCTTTGGAACCCTTGCAGGAACATTATTCTGACTATTCGAGGCCAGCCACCCTTCTTCGGCCTTGCAGCCTTAACCACGAAACCCCAAACCGACTTAAGGAAACGGTCTAGGGTTTAGGGTTTAGGGTTTAGGGTAAACTTTCTAAGCGATACCCAAGCCCCTAAACCCGAACCCTATAGTCTAATCTCCAAGCCCAAAGCCCGAAGCCCAAAACCCTGAACCTAAATCTGAACTCCAGGCCCGAATCCTTTTCCCAAAACCCTAAACTGAATGTCCCCAAATCCAAACTCCGAGCCCAAAGCCCGAAACCCTAAACCCTGAACCCTAAACCCTGAACCCTAAACCCTAGAACCCTAAACGCTAAACCCTAAACCCTATAAAAACTAGCAGGGCAAAGCCGCTGTCGACCAGAAGGGCCCCAGTGGGGGCGGCACACGTGCTCCGGGCATACACACTTAGAGGCTTTAGGGTTCGGGAGGGATCGTGCTTAGTAAGTAAGTAGGGTTTAGGGTTTAGGTTTTAGGGTTAAGTCAGTAAGTGAGTAGGTGCCCTAATTGAGTTGTAGCCCTCTTTGCAGTCTGCTTGTAAACCGGCTTAGTAAGCCCTAAGTCCTGAAGCGTAAGCCCCAAACAGTTCAGTGCCCTGGGCCTCTAAGTTAGGTCGGGGATTTTGCTGAGTATCCAAACTACTCCTCGGGATCAGGTGAGGGCAAAATGGGTGCTGCT